GGGGGGGGGGGGTTCTCCATGTATTTTGTTTCCATGTGTTTTCCTGGGGACTTACGGATTTGGTTATGATCACATTAAGTTCACATGGTCATAATCTGGTACTTGACCATCTGTTTTCATCATCTTTACTTTGATCTCTATGTTGTCCCACGTTTGGCCCTGCGAGCTGGCTCCCCTGACCTTCCCCCATCGTAATGTCCCCTTTCTTACACGTGAAATATTCCAGGTGCATTTTCTGTTTTGCCAGCCTCACCCTGGATGACCACAGAGCCCCACTCTTCCTAGTGGAGGGCAGTGGTCGGAGACCAGGTCCAGGCAGAGGTGAGCTGAGGGCCAGAGCTCAGGTCCTAAGTGTCAGGGCCCGACTTCCCTTCTGAGAAACGTGGCTCAGAGAAAGCAGCCCTGCGGGCCCTCACCATTACCCCTCCCTGAGCCTCCCTGCAGGGTGTGCTTCAAAAATGCTTAATATTAACACTAATAAAAAATAACGTGTGATAAAGCCCTATCAAAGACATCAAGTTACCTTTCTAAAACAGGTAAGTTAGTGTGTAGTTTTAATTCAGAGTCATTCCCAAACTAAGTGTGCCCGGCTGTGCTGTCTGGCAAGACTGTGATGTACATGTTCTCTGGTGCCTGAGCCCCGTGCGCGCCCGGCCCCGTGCGTGCTCACGGGCCATGTTGCTGGGCCCCATGCGTGCTGGGTCATGTGCTGGGCCCCGTGCGTGCTCACGGGCCATGTGCTGGGCCCCGTGCGTGCTCACGGGCCATGTGCTGGGCCCCGTGCGTGCTGGGTCATGTGCTGGGCCCCGTGTATGTTCACGGGCCATGTGCTGGGCCCCGTGCGTGCTGGGTCATGTGCTGGGCCCCGTGCGTGCTCACGGGCCATGTGCTGGGCCCCGTGCGTGCTGGGTCATGTGCTGGGCCCCGTGTATGTTCACGGGCCATGTGCTGGGCCCCGTGCGTGCTGGGTCATGTGCTGGGCCCCGTGCGTGCTCACGGGCCACGTGCTGGGCCCCGTGCGTGCTGGGTCATGTGCTGGGCCCCGTGTATGTTCACGGGCCATGTGCTGGGCCCCGTGCGTGCTGGGTCATGTGCTGGGCCCCGTGCGTGCTCACGGGCCATGTGCTGGGCCCCTGCTCCACAGGCCACGTGCATGCTCACGGGCCATGTGGTAGACCCCATGGGTGCTGGGCCACATGCAGGGCCCCGTGCATGCTCACAGGCCATGTGCTAGGCCCCGTGCGTGCTGGGTCATGTGCTGGACCCCATGGGCGCTCACGGGCCACGTGCTGGGCCACGTGCGCGCTGACCCTCTTGCGTGCTGGGCCACGTGCGTGCCTTGCCAGGCTGGCAGTGGTGGCTAAGCACCTGCCCTTGGCTTCCAGCGCTCCACCAAAATCAACACTTTCAACTGGTCCCGGGTCCGGAAACTCAGCTTCAAGAGGAAGAGGTTCCTGGTCAAGCTCCACCCTGAGGTCCACGTGAGTGTCGCTGTGCGCCGCGGGGAGGGTGAGTTCCCTGGCGCCCTCTGCGCCATCTCGGCGTAAGGCACAAAGGCGGTTAAGGCCAGGGCTTGGACTGGGGTCTGGCGGGGCTCCCCGCAGCCCACCCAGCAGTTCTGCAGGGAGGTGCGACATGGGGGTCCAGGTCCGGCGGGGCGGGGTGGCCCTGAGAATGGGCCTGACGAGCCCCCGGGCTGCCGGAGCTGCGGGTTGTCACGGCCTCTGCGCTCTCGGCGGCGAGGCTGGAGCGGGGGGTGAGCGTGACGGCCCCGCGGCAGATCCCATGGAGCTTCCGTGGGAGCGAACTGAGGGGCGTCCCCCGGCCTCCTGTCTGACTCAGACGCTGGCCCTTCAGTGGCTCCAATTGAAGGAGCTTCACTTTCGGTCAGTAAAGTAACAATTGGCTGTGAACTGACTGAAAGGAGCGACGTGGAAGAAGTGTCCGATAGTTGGCAGAAGTCTGGTACTTAAAGCGAATCGGACACGTTCAGACCGCCACACGCACAGGTGCAGAGGGAGTCAGGAGGTGACAGCGGATGGGCTGAGCCACCTGCGGCGGCCGCTAAGGGGCCACGGGGTTAGCAGCTTGTGGTGGACTCGGAGCCCGGCAGTGCCGCGGAGGGGCCGCCGGAGCCACGGGCACGGCCGTGAGAGGGGCCTGACCGGTTATTGTTCAGACCCCTCTTCCCTAGCTGAAAGGGAGCGTAAGGAATGCCACAGACAGACAAAGTGCAAGCGAAAGGCTGCTTGTTTTCTGTAAGTAAAAAAAACGTTTCCGGCAGTTACTCTGAAAAGACAGGAAAGGAGAGGCTTGCAGGTCGCGTAGCGCAGCCACTGGCAGTCGGCGGGCGCCACGTCCAGAGTGCAGAACGTCGGCCGCACTGGCACCGCTGCCTGGTAGTCCCCAGGCGCTCAGGGCCGGAGCAGCTCTAGGGGCCAAAGCACCAGCGCCTCTGGGCGGCAGTTTGGTCATGTGTCCCGGAGTGAAGCTGGGCTGTGGATGAGCTCAGTGTAGCATTTCCAGGGATAACCCTGGGAGGCGCAGCAGCACTCTCTCCATGGTGGTGTCTGTGGGCCTGGACGTCCAGGGCCCTCGCAGCCCCACAGGAAAGCGGCTCAGTGGTAACCCATCAGCTTGTCCACCGGCACAGGAGGTGCGCTCGTCTCTGTGGGGAAGGTGACAGGGACACGCTCCAGGATGTTCACACTGGGGTGACTGGGTGGCCGCACGTTCTGATGGGTACACAGTGAATGTGTGTACACTGCGTGCTTCTTAAATGTAAAGGGAACCAGGAATCTCCATCTACAATTTTCAGAAGAAAAAGTCTTCCTAACATTCACTGCAGAACAGCCGTTCCCTGAACTCCCTGAGTGTTGTGCTTGGAGTAGTTACTTGAACCTCTGCATCTGTTTCCAGGGGCCTTACCAGGACACCCTGGAGTTCTTGCTGGGCAGTAGAGATGAGTGTAAGAACTTCTGGAAGATCTGCGTGGAGTATCACACCTTCTTTAGACTCTGTGATCAGCCGCAGCCGAAGGCCAAGGCCGTCCTCTTCAGCAGGGGCTCCTCCTTCAGATACAGGTGGGCAGCCACGGCCACGGGGGTCCGGCTGGTGATAGAGCTGAGGACAAAGATATCCCTAGTCCTGGAAATGTCGTACAGCGTTTCAGGGAGTTACATGCAGAAGGCAGCTGCTGTCCAGCTGGAGAAAGTATATCAAATAAAATAGTGAGAAAAACAGATTCAATAAAAACTTTGTTTAGAAAATTGGTGGTGCTTATTGCAGAGCAGAGCTTTAACCTGTGTGTAGATTTACAAGAAAGGGTGGGCAGGGCTCACTGTCCTTGGACTTCATTGAAAAATCGATGCTGTGAATTACTGTGGCCTCTTTTCCTCAATGTCCAAACCTTCGTCTACAGTGGGAGAACTCAGAAGCAACTGGTAGAATACATCAAAGACGGTGCCGTGAGGAGGACTCCGTATGAAAGGTGAGCTCTGTGGCCTCTAGGAGGTAAAGTGTGTGCTGTTAAAATTAGCACTGTGTTTGAACCCTTATTTGAATAAGTCCTTTCAAACATGTAAACATGCATTTGCCCCTTGAGTTGTGTATTTTTAAGATGACGAATGTCACACCCTTGGTCAATTACTGTTTACAGACACGATGTCACGTTTAGCTTCTTGTGTGCACGTGGTGCGGTAAGCTCTGCGTCTGCACATGCACCTGCCTCTCTCCCTGTGGGCCTTTCCCTTCATGGGGGACTCGCCCTCTCGGGGCCTCTTGTTTTCTGTTTCCTCGGCTTATTCCCCATTCTGCCCATTTCCAGTTAGGTGCCTTCTGGCGAGTTATCAGGGTCTTGGCCACATTTCCGTTAGCTCCTCGTGGGCACAGTGGGGGCTCCTGTCAGACAGGAACCTGGGCTCACAGCTGGTTCTGTTTGCAGGAGACACAGCAGGACGCGGACGTCCGGCCGCACTCTGACTGCAGACCTGCCAAAGCAGGTGAGTCCTCTGGTTACAATGGACACCATGTCCGTCACCCGCACTCAGATGGGAAATGACCTGGTAGTGTTGTAACGAGTCTCAAAGCCAGTTGTGTCTTTCACCCAGCAATTCCAGTCCTGGGACCCCATCTGCAGAAAGGAGTCCTGAGTGAGGAGAAGGCTTTGTGGGTGGGACGTATGTCACAGTGTCGCTTGTAGCACCAGAGCCACCCCTTTCCACTAACATCATTTTGCTCTAGAACCATTAAAAGTCTCATTTTAAGAAAATAGTGTGACCAGGGGCACATTCAAAATATGTCACTAAATGAAACCAGCAGGTCGCAAAGAAGCCTGTGTCACATGACCCGCGTTTTGATTAAAAAGTAAGACAAGTAGATGCCAGAGGCCAAGGCTGGGGGCATGAACCTCAACTTGTCGTCCATCACCTCAAGCGACGGGATTCCAAGACCACTTCCAGTCGCTCCAGCCATTTGCCTTCCGGGATGGGGGTCTCCTACATTGTGGGAAGAAGTGGGAGGGTGGGGCTGTACCCAGACGACCCTGGCCCTCTGGACTCCCTTCTGCACGGCTGGTCTTTGGGATCAGGAAAGTCTGACCCTCAGCCCATCTCTCTGGAAGCCACAGTAGATGTGTGTGGACTGTCTAGTCTGGCCCAGTTAGCTTTGCGACTTTCCAATGGTGATTTGTAAAATGATCCTATTGTTTGTTTTCTTAATTTCGACCCCCAGAGCATCTCCTTCACCGAGGGCATGATGACTTCCGCGTCCCCACTGTCAGCACACGCCTCCTTCTATTCGGTCCCTACCTCCCCTGTGGCCCCTCCCAGCTGGCCTGAGGTCAAGGACGGCAGTGTCTCTCTGATGGAGCCCCAGGCTCCCCACACCAAGAGGCCGGCTGCAGAGAGGAGCAGCGGAGCCGTGGAGGGCCCCGACGCGAGGCAGGCCCAGCCCCCTGGGCCCCCTGCGCTCCAGCCTTGTCAAGGTGTTGGGGTTTGTCATGTTGTAAGGAGCTGCAGCCCCAGCAGTCCTGGGGGGCAGAGTCACAGTGCCTTAGACCTGGGTGCAGGGGGTGCCGGCAGGGAGTGCAGAGCTGCTGGTAGAAATGACCGTGGCGAGGGAGACTCGACTGTGGGTTCGCTCCCTTCCACAGGGGAGCCCCCATGTGGCCGGCAGGGCGGTGGGGGGGGGCCTGTTTTCACATTGACAAACGCCCAGCTGCAGGTGTCTGAGGAGTTCATAGATGACGACCCGGCAGACATCTCTTTCTTTGCCGGAGGCTCCGAGGCATTTTCTTGCCCATATGGCAGTTTGGCCCTGCAGGCCCCTCTGTGTGGTCACCCAGGCTCTGCCCAGTCCAGCCCAGGCAGGTACTCCCCTGAGGCAGCGCCCACGAGTGTAGAGCGTGGCTTTGAGTTTGGTGGGGGGAGTTGCTTTGGCGGTGTGCACCCCTCTGACACCTCAGAGTTGCTGGAGGTGAAGGCCCAGGCCAGCCTGATGCAGAGCCTGCTGAGCCCGTCCCAGAGCAGCTCCCTCAGCCACCTCCCGATGCTCAGCCAGTCCTTGCACACACCCAGCTCCGCCAACCAGTCCGAGGCCAGCTCCATGGCCAACTTCCCCGCCTGCTCAGTGCGCTCAGAGGCCAGCTCGGCCTTTCAGTTTTCTGACATCCTGGACCAGTTAGAGCAGCTCAGCTACCCACCCACAACGGCCGAGGACTCGAGCAGCACAGACACCGACTCCTGGGGCTCCGAGGCCGAGGCCCCCCTGGACGTGAGCCTTTTCTTCAGCAGCCCTTTTGCACAGACCAGTGGAGAGAGAATCCTTTTCGATTTGCAGAATAATGTAAAGAGCGTGAGTCCAGGAGAGCAGGTGGACCAGAGCCCGTGCTGACCATGCCCGGTCCACAGGCTGGCCCGCACCTGCTCAAGCAGCGAGCTCAGATTGCTGGCTGTGTCTGTCCACGGCGAGGGATTCTTTCTTCTCCTAGTTCTCTGATTGTTCTGTTTGAATGTCACAGAATCAGAACTTTTACTTGGGATGATGTTTAAAACTATGCAAGTTTAAAGTAGATGAGTTTGCAGCGAGGCCCCGGGAGCTGGTGAATTGGTCTTGCAGCTTCATTGTTCTGCTCTCTGGTTCAGCTGGAAGCTGGTGTTGTCCACTCCGAATGTCCCATTGCCCGACTCACGCAGGTCTGTAACAGAATGTGTGTAGTCTGCCTGTTGAGGCTGCAGTCTAAGATGAGGCATGCTGCCCAGAGTCGTTAGGACGGAGGCTTTGCCTGCTTGTCCAGCCACTGCACGAGGTCCTGCGTGAGCCACACCCTGGGAAAGGCTCCCTGGGGCTGCCTAGGTGTCTCAGTGCCAAGGACATTGTCCCATTAATGACCTGAGACCCAGAAAGTGCTGTTTAGATAGTGGACTTGGAGAGGCATTGGTTTAAAATGCAATTGGACTCTTTCCTCTTATGTACCTTAATTGGGGGTATAACAGAAAAGTGGAACCAGACACAACAGAGTCGGTTGTCTGCTAAAATGAACAGGCGCCAGGAACCCCTGAGCGTTGAGGGGCCTCGTTTCCTTAGTGTTGTTTCTTGTTGGCCAGGGCTGTGTAACACAGTCCCTGACCGTCTCTCATGGCCCCGTCCTGACCTCCTTCCCCGCGGTGCACCACCCATCTACGCCCCCAGAAGGTGGGCGGGCGCTATGGCCGCACTGGATGCGTAGTCTGGGCGTTGGGGGAAACCTCTGCTGTGCAGCCCACCTGCAGGTGCCTGCGCTCCAGCCTTGGTGACGCACTGTTCAACTTGTCACACCCACGGATTGGGTTTTGTGTTTTGGGTCTTTGTTGTTTAGCCACCTGCTCTTCCTGCGTGGCAATGCCACATTTAAGGTTCATTTTCCTCCCGAGCCCTGTGGTGATTGAGTCCCTCAGCCTCCGCTCCTGTGCGGGACTGTGCCTGTCTGGGGGGGTTTGCTGTGTGACACCCACGCTTGGGGCTCAGAGCTGCCCGGGGCCTCTTGCCAGGGCCAGTCTTTCTCTTCTCATCGGTCCACCCGCAGGGTCTGGGCTGAATGTATTGAGAAATTTCCCATTTTTGTAGCTGCCTTAAACCTACACTGAAGTCTCACCTTCGCCCGGGTCTCTGGACTGGTGTCTTGAGGTGTGTGACGGCTGCTCGTCCTCTGCAGCTCCAGACCACCTTCTGTGCACCTTAGGGTGCTGGGCCGATTCCAAGGGGGCTGGCTGACCTCTGAGAATAGACTGATGGGAAAGGTGATGTCGTCAGGAATTGCTTATCAGAATAGTGTGTTCTGGACATTTTTCCCCTTTGTGTCACTCAGAAAGCAAACCTTGGGTTTTTGTGGTGAAAACCACAAAGGTGTTACACCTGGAATGCATTTCCTGGGCCTCAGCAGCCCTGTGAGAGCTGCCCAGTCTTCATCTGCCCAACGATGCTCTCAACTAGCAGGGTGTCCTTTGTTTCTTTTTTAAATACGTTTTTTCAAATTGATTTCAAGGAGAGGAAGGGAGAGGGAGATAGAAACATGATGAAAGCCATCGATCGGCTGCCTCCTGCACGCCCCCGCCTGGGGATCGAGCCCTGACCTCCAGGTTCATGGGCTAATGTTCAAATGCTGAACCACGCTGGCCGGGCTCCACAGCCTTTTTGAGGGGCTTAGCCTCTGCAGCTGTGCGACGGGCAAGGGGTGGGGGAGCAGTGTGGGTGAGCAATTCTCTTTCTCTTTTGGGTCCACAATTTCCTGGGCCCTCACCTTGGCTTCCAGTTCTTTTTGCTTTATCTTAAGCCTTTCAGTCTCCGAATCCTCCTGCACTGTCTTCATGAGCACCGTTCACTCTCACTTTGGGGTATTCAGCAGAGGGAGCCCCTGGGTCCCCAGCAGGTGGTCCTAGCTCAGGAGGTGCTCCAGCATGGCCAGATCCACGCTCTTTAGCTTCTGAAGGGGCTGACTTTCTGGGAAGCAGAGGCTGGAGGTGCCAGGGGCTTGGGATTCCCAGTCTCCTCTTCCTTGGGGCCTTGGGCTCTCTTTGCCTCTGAAGGGCCCACCAGTTCTTTCTGAGACAGTTTAACAAGTGCCAAGACACGAAGCTGTAGGCTCTCATTGGTAAAAGGTCAATTGCTCACCTCTTTGGACCTGGCAGCAACATTGAGTGCAGAGGTTGTGTCCAGGTAGGAGCATCACTCAGGGGCAGTGTTGGCAATGCAGGCGCTGTGGGCTGAGCCACCCAGAGTCCTGCAGCAGGTGAGGGAGCTCACTTTCCTGGAGAGACACCCAAGAGAGACTCTGGTCCAGCGCAGCCCCACCTTGCTGGTGCCATCAGGGAGAAGTCAGTGGCTCCACTCTCCTTCAGCCTCAGGCCCTTGTTGCCTGTGGCCAACTGTCCTCTGAACCAGACACACCAATCAGAGTTTCCTTCCCTCTGGCAAAATGGGGCCAAGCACCCCACTGACCCACCTTAACCGGGAGCAGAGCTCGGCTGGGGAGGAGCTGGCAGGAATCACTGCTCAGAATCAGCAAAGCTGGTGGGCTCTGCCTGAGGCCAGAACCAGCGTGTTTCCTCCAGCCTTCTCGGAGCCCCAGGCCTCTGGATACAGGTCCGGGAGGTCCACACCTCCTCCTGGTAGAAGGACACAGTGACAGGCCAGGGCCGGCCCTCAGCACCCTCCTCCCGTGAGAGAGCCAAGGAATCACTCAGGTGGCTCTGGCTGCCCAGCGCTGTGCGCCCCTCCGTGACCTGTGGCCCATAGCCCGGAACACTGGCCGCCTCCCTTCCAGCAGGTGCCTTAGGACTGCTGCTCTGATCAGGCCTAGACGTCACCCAGGATCCCATATCCTATAGGTTCAACCATCTGTTAAGTGGTCCCCTATCCTTTCTGGAAGCTTAACCAGGGTCGAGCATCACATCTTTGAGCTACTGGTAGGGCCCCTCCCATAAAATGGTTTGGTTTAGTTTCTTCAATGAAACTATTTTCTGGAGATATTTTAGCTTTTTGTTTAGAAAGTTTTCAAGATTTACAAAATCGAGAGCAGGAATATAAGGACCGAACCCCTGTGTCCACCACTCAGTGTCCCAAAGCTTGGCCTCGTATCTGATCTTAATGAGAGGTGGTTTGTAGCAGATACTCCGACATCCAGAGCAGCCCAGGGCGAGGACCGCAGGGCCGAGCCCGCTGACGGCTGTCAATAGTGAGAGGCCTGTGTGTCGTCCAGCAACGCCACCTGGGGAGGGCGGCCCCGTGTACCTGAGTGACGGGACAGTTGTTCAGACTTGAGTGAAATATGTAGACTCAGAGCCTCACTTTTTCGGCAGCCAGGGGCTAAGAGTGTGGTTGAAAAGTGCCTGGGAGATATTGACAGTTCTCCCTTTCCACCCGTCAATCTCAGCTCAACCCAGGGCCTTGCCCCCAACAGGAGGGCCCAGTGGGCTGGCATGGCCAGCTTCCCACAGTCCTGCCCATCCCACTCTGCCAGGCCCTGCAGACTGTGCCTGTCGCCTCCACTGTGCCCACCTCTAATAATGCACCTGCTTCAGGTAGAATATTTATTTTTACTAGTTACCAAGTCTATTTTCGTATTTAAGCTTTTAAACCCAGGTGCTCTACATAAGCCAGTCTGTGGATGTTGACGTCAAACAGCAGCTGGCTCCCAGTTAGGGGGAAGCGCCCAGACCACGTGGTGCTCGGGGGCACCTCCAGCCATGCAGCATCTTTTCCTCTCAGTGCGGAGTCAGGTTAGGCTCCCTTTTCCACTGAACGCACGTTTTAAAAATAGTGGTGACAGATGGGCAGTAAAAGCAGCAACCGGGAAGGTTTGATATGAAACACCCTTGGACCTGTTGGTTACGTGACGCCTGTCACTGTCGTCCTGCAAAGGCTTCTTGATGGCTTCTGTGTCCCGGGACATTCTGCTCCCTGCTCCGGCTTGGCTCCCGCTGCCTCGCAGGTGACCGGAAGCACCCG